TTATATAGGGCATGATTAAGATATGAGTATATTTAAAATGTGATATAGGAGGGTGTAATGAACTTCACATAAATTTTTATTTTTCTGAAAGGACGTTTTTATAGAGCTAAGGTCAAATGAGGTCCAATCTTGACACTTTTATGCTTATACAAAACCAATTCGAAAAGTATTTCCAATAGGCTTCGTAATTGCCATATTTGAGGATGATTTGTTAATTATTACGAAAATGGCGAACTGTGCCGTGCGCACAAGGTTAACATGGACACACAGATGAATATTATGATAAAATATCAAAAATTATCTAGATTTAGAAATAAGTTCCAAAAATCGATTTTCTAAAACTTTTCTGCAACACCGACATAATAAATAATCAATAAAGTATGCATTCTAAGTAAGCATACTAATAAGATATACCAGAACTTTAAAAATTACAAAACCACTGCCTTACTTTATTGCATTTTGGAAGCTTTTTTTAATTAAGTAAGCATTGTATTGCTTCTACCTAATTTTATCGCTTACATTTTCTGATAATTTTTTGCTGGGTGGATACTGGACTAGACTGAGTACTACCCCAGTTTCAAACCCGGAAATCGGAGGTTCCTTACAACATACAAACGGAAGTATACCTTTTTTGCATTGAAAAGCTCAAAATGAGTTAACAATTATATTCTGAAATAAACAATGTCTAGTTATTTTTTTAACTTCAAGGAGGTGGTTAATATCTAAACAAAAAATTTCAAAACTAAAAATTGTGCTGTAACATTTTGAAAAAAAGAAAAAACCATAATAAAACAATAATAAGGTAGAATCAGTAGAAAAGTACGTTCTCAATTTTACATGCCTTGAATTGTCACAAAAAAGAAAATTAAAAAATATAAAAAAAACATCAAATAAAAATTATTTAAAACTTTTTTTGTGAAGAAAATAAAATTTAATAATTCGAATAAAAAATATCGCAAAACGAGTAAAAATCAAAAACAGGATACAGAAGTGTGGAATCCTGTTTGCGTGTGCCGTTCAAGAATCATTTCATGGTATTTTTCGTGGTTTTTCATTTGAAGATTTTGAAGTTTTTCTCTTTTTAGTTCTTTTTTGTTTGACTTAACAATGCAGAGAATTGACAACTCTCCCTACTGATTCTACCTTTCTATGGTTGTATCATGGAAAAAACAATTTTTTAAATAAAATTTTCGAATATACGAAAATAAAAAATTAAAACATAGAAAAAACAAAATATGTGCTAAAAACGTAAAATATGTATATAGAATTCTTAATATGTTCTAAAACGTATAAGATTAATTCCCAAAAATTTGTAACTCATTAAATTTTTTGTGGAATTTAATAAGATAAGTTCAATGCACAATCGATGTTGTAGAGTTGTATGTGTAGTATGTCAGCAGCTGCTACAATAGTCGTGATAATGTTGTTGGTATTTTCTATGCAAAAGCTCTATACAACTCCTACGACAATTTTTCTGTCTGTCTGTGTGTATTGAAATCAGTTTTCAGAAGACCCCAGATATTTGCGAGATCCGAACTTTCAATAATTCTATCGGAAATACAATCGAATAGAACGCTATTTAAAATCAGACCAACTTTTTGGTACTTTTTCGTTCTACAAAAGGTACTTTTTGAAATTTCTATAATATTGAACACAGAAAAATAAAATTGCATGTAGATTCTGGATTATGTGAGAACCTATAAAAGGGTACTTTGTCGTTCTTTGAAACCTAGAAACATGAAATTTAGCACGTAGAGCATTTTATAAGTTAGAACGTATAAAATGGGACTTTTTGGCACTTTTTCTGTCTTTAAACGGCACTTTTTGAATTTTCTATAATATTGAACCTAGAAACATGTAATTAAGTATAAAGAGCCCGGATTATATGAAAACCTATAAAAGGGCCCTTTTTGGTACTTTTTCCGTTCTTCAAAATGTACTTTTTGAAATTTCTATAATATTGAACACAGAAAAATAAAATTGCATGTAGATTCTGGATTATGTGAGAACCTATAAAAGGGTACTTTGTCGTTCTTTAAAGGGTACTTTTTGAATGACTTTTAGGTACCTTACCGTTTTACTACGTTCCAGAAAGAGTCCAAAGAAAATTAGTAAGAAATAAAGCAGATTTGTTCAATATTGACGACAAGAGGTTAGTTAAAGTATTTCTTTTTACCCTTCACCTTCGTGAGGGTATATATAAGTTTGTCATTCCGCTTGTAATTACCACAATATATTTTTCCGACCCTATAAAATATATATATTCTGAATCCTTATAGATAGCGGAGTCGATGAAGACATGTCCGTCTGTGTGTTGAAATCAGTTTTCGGAATACCATAGATATCTTCGGTATCCAAATCTTCAATAATTCTATCAGACATGCTTTCGAGAAGTTTCCTATTTAAAATCAGCAAAATCCGTCCATAAACAACAGAGATATAAGCAAAAACCCGAGACAACCTCTAAAAATTTCATAAAAAAGACAATTTTTTCATGCTTTGATAAATAAGCAACAACAACAACACTGCTTATTCATTGCGTTGTGTATTTTGTTTCTATTGAGTATTTCGTTTCGTATGTTTGGATGGCTGTGTGTTTCATTGCATTGTGTATATTGTTTTTGTTTCTTGGTGTATTCAGTTTCGTATGCTTGAATGTCTATTGGTTTCATTGCGTTGTGTATTTTGTTTCGTATGTTTGGATGTCTGTTGGTTTTACTGCCTTGTGTATTTTGTTTTTTGTGTGTTTATTTCGTTAAGCGTTGTTGTTGTTCATTTTGTTTGCTATAATAATGATATAGTCGGGAAAATGAAATAAATTTAAATTTTTAAATTGATATTTTTTAAATACACTATAGTGAAGGGTATATAAGATTCGCCACAGAAGAATATAGCACTCTTACTTGTTAGAACTCTATTAATAAATATTTGCAATTTAGTTTCATAAAAAACTTACACTTAAACAAGAACGCTTTTACTTACGATCTTGAAAGCATAAAGGAAGAATTAAGAATGATCGACTGCAATTACACCACAATTAAAATTAGCCGCCACTTTGTTTTTGGCACAAGGCGGATATCAACACCAAATTGGTCAAGATCGTCACTTGGGGCTATCACAGCAGTCTATTTCTAGTTGTTTATCAGAAATGTGTCACGTCATTGAGAAAGTTTTATGTATTTGGGTCTTCTGAGGAAAATCAAAGAGAGGCCAAACAGTATTTTTACAATAAGAGTGGAACATATTTCAACTGGGGATTTAGCTGAGGAAGCATCTAATTGTAATTCAATCAATGAAGCTGAAAGTGAATGCCCTAATTACAAGAATATCGCAAAAAATATAAGGGAAAAAATCAAAAATAATTTGCAAAGAAAATGCAACATTTAATTACTTATATATAATTTATAAAATTACTTTTAATAAAAAAAATTTAAATATTTTATTTAACAAAAAAGAATCAAAAATCGTGTATCAATCTTGTAATCTATGTTTTTCTATTTCAAGCTCAAACATATCATTTTTTAGCCTTAACTCTTCCACTCTATGTTTTGTATTTTCATAGTCCATTTTTTTCATATGTTCGAGTTTTTGTTTTTTAATCTGAAGCTTCTCTTTCGATCTTGAACATCATAACTTCTTTTTAATACCTTTGAATTCCTGTCAGATTTTCATTGATTTCTGTAAGTATTTTTGTTGAATTTGACTGATTTTCTACTTGTTATTCTAGAAGAGCGTCTCTGTTAATTTTTTTAGTAATTGACGGGGGACTTTTTGGTGTTACTTCTTCAATTCTTTGTATATGGATGAATCAGAATCCAAATCGTCTTTATGTTCATTTTCAGAATTTGAAGTTGTAGATTTTGATTGGGGTAAATTGGAACTTTCATTAACTGCTTCATCCATGGAAAGCAAGTCAGATGTTTGTCTTTCCAATGGAGTAAGGGAGCAGTATATAGGCCCTACATCAGTGCCAGAAATACTGATTCGGTTCCGACTACATTTACCATTTATATGGTTTTTGTAGTCTGCCCAAACCTTATTATATATTTTACAAGTTCAAACTATAACGCTTTAGCAAAATATAAGACACATACCTTTTTCCACCCTTTAATATCACGTTGTGGAGGACCAAGAGCGTCCAAATCTAATTGTAATTTATTAGATTTGCTTCTGGCATCCGGGACTTTTAAATGACCCTTGGCTAAGTCGGTATGTTTTATCATAAAATCAACTATTGTTTCATACTGCTTTTGATTAGTATAGGAGAGTCTCTTTGAATACCCCCTTTTAAATTATATTATCAATATTTATTATTAATTGTTCCATTTATTAAATATTTTTAATTTTAATTACTTACATTTTAATTATTTTTTTATTTCTCACATGGTACAATTTGTTCGAACTCGTAAATTTTAATTTTCGAATCGTGTTACAGACTAACCCCCCAGAATTATGCATACAAATTGTTTTTCTTTCAGAAGTATTTATTACAAAAACAAATTTGTTTTGGAAGTTTAGAACCTTTTTATTCCCTAGACACAAATATTTATACCAAACTAATTCATACGAAACTAATTCATACGAAAAATATGGTAAAATTGCACGAAAACAAGAAAAATTTATAATCATTTAATTATTAAAAATAGCCTCAAAAAATTGTCAGCAACTTAAAATGGTTGCTGTTGTATAGTGAAATATTACAATTCAATTCAGTTTTTCATGCATTTACTTATGACAAATTTTTTAGAATTTAGACATGTACTTAAAACGCATTAAATTGAATATGTACTAAAGAAATCATGAAAATATACCTTCTTCCTGAACAACTTCAAAATTGTGTTGCTGGAAAGATATGTTTTGAGTCAGTGTTTATACCATGAATGTATCATGAAAATTTTTAAAAACAGATTTAAATGTGCGAATTACCATTAATATTAAAAGAAAATAATATTTTATTTTAAACATTCACCGTTTTGTTTGATGGATTGTTTTGTACTCACCAATGGCGGCAATGCCTGTTTTTGTCTACGTTCAGGTTGACTATTTTTACCAGAAGCTATTCCTTTAGATGACTCTCGTATTGGTGGTCTTATGTTCTGTTCAACCATGTTTCCAACATGGTCTCGAGGATAATTGTATTCTTTGTCTGGAGATATTATCTCTTCTGGAATAGATTCATCGCCAGTTGACGACTCTAAAGGCAAAGTAAAAAATTGTATGAAATTATAACATGTGTGTAAACACGTCATAAATCGTTATTTATCTAACAACAACATTCAATATACCTGTATCCTCATTGGCCCGTTCAGGACTCTTATTAAGAACCGAACTTCTTTTAGATGGCATTGGTAAATTTGGTTTAGATCTAGTTTTCAAGGCAGCAAGTGCTTGTTGGACAGCTTCCTGGCGAACCTCTAAAATATGATTTTTAATTAATTTTTAGTTTTAAATAAACTAAAGAGTATGTATGTATGTATGTATGTATGTATGTATGTATGTATGTATGTATGTATGTATGTATGTATGTATGTATGTATGTATGTATGTATGTATGTATGTATGTATGTATGTATGTATGTATGTATGTATGTATGTATGTATGTATGTATGTATGTATGTATGTATGTATGTATGTATGTATGTATGTATGTATGTATGTATGTATGTATGTATGTATGTATGTATGTATGTATGTATGTATGTATGTATGTATGTATGTATGTATGTATATGTTTGTATGTATGTATGTATATACATCCAAAAAATTATGATTGAGTTGCTCTTCCTAGGCCTCTATCGGGCCTGTTGTGCGCTCCTTAACCAGTGCCTCAGGTGGGAATCGAACCCACCACCTCCGGTCTACCAGTCTAGAACACTAACCTACCGGAGGCCACCCTACCGGAGGCCACTTAGTAGCCACAAAGTACTTAGAATAAAAATATTTCCATCCCCGGTACTGAATAGTGGAATAAAAACCTTCTTCTGAGCAAAATCTTCTTATATCTTATAAATAAAAAATAATACACATGATATCCAAAAGCATATTTCAGAATAATAGTTTTTCAACAATAAATTGTTAAAATATATCGGAGGCGAGGTATAAATCAACTTAACCCGTATGTCAATACCCACATACCCGCGTATGTTTTTCATTTCTGAAGTGATATATCTCGAGATCTATATATCGTATCGGCTTAAAATTTGAAAATTTGAATTTTGTTAGATATATACATATTAAACCGATTTGTGACCGATTTCCTATTTTTACCTCGTGTATCAATACCCATCATACCCCGGTATGTATACAAATTATATGTCAGTTATCGGACAAAAATTAAGTTTCATTATAAATTTTATGTTTTATTATTAGAATTATATATATTCTTGTATCTTATGAAAAAAATTTAACTAAACAACAAATTTAGTTTCAAATACAGAGTCATGTGTCTTTATTCATAAATTTGAATGTGATATATTTGTGGACCCTGTAACATTAACAAATATGGGCCGATTTTGATGAAATAATTTTTTTTATTGTATATGACTTAGTAAAGTAAAATTATGCTAATTATAATAATTTTATTCTCATATAAACAAAATTATTTAAGATTAAATTTTAATTTTTGACCATGACTTAGCAATCTTTCTTTGCTAAAAAAGTTCTCTACTTACGAAAGCAGAAACAATTTTATACACCTTAATAAATAACATATAAAATGTTTTGTTCAATTATCTTTCCCGGTCACTGAGTAATAGCTTCTTGAAGTCAAAATTTTACAAAGTCAAATTCTTCTTCAATACATTATACGTTATGAAGGCGTTTTTCTTTAGGTTTTTTGCATATGATATTTTTGTTAATAGGAAAGCAATAAGAAAACTTTAAAAAAATTGCTAAAATTTAACAATTTATGACTAAACTATTTAATTTATATTTACAGACGTTTAATTAAATTAGTTGTAACAATTATATGAATTATAAACTAGAAATGTATAAAAAGATGAAATAGCCATATAAATTATATGACATACCCGGGTATGTTGGGTATTGATGTACGTAATTTTTCTCGGTTATATGATTTATTAAACACATTTTACTCTCATAACTGGTGTTATATGGTCGGCCTCGCCCGCCTATAATTTCTTACTTGCTATTATTATATATCCGATAGTATCTATGCCAATTAATTGCCCCTTTTTTTTGCTATTTCAGCTTGTAAGTTAGTAGAGTCATCTTAAGTCCAAAAACTTTTAAAATTCTCTTATTTAACACTTTATAATGTATAAAATAGCGGAAAAACACTTAAAAATTCGGGATTTTAAAATCCCGAAATTCCCCGGGATTTCATTTTTTAAAATCCCGGTTTTCGGTACTTTCAAATCCCGAAAATCCCGGGATTTTCGGGAATTCCCGTTTGGCATCCCTACATATGATGTTACCCAAAATATTTTCAATTTAGTGTTGCCCATTCGTGAGCTGGACAGTTTACTAGAAAATATCCTAAGAATGACACGGTTTTACATGTTCAGTTCAAAATTTTACCCAGCTTCAAAAAATCTTTGATGTTTCCCAAAATATTATAAGTCTATCGATGGCTGTTCGTGAGCTGGACCGGTTATAAAAAATACCGTTTTTAGTTATTTTTTTATTTTTTTTTTAATTTTACAGTCGTAATGCATAAATTTTAATTATATTAATAAAAAACCTAAATATGAAAATTATGGGGAGACTGTTATTTACAAACCACCTAAGTATTCTATGAGTATGCAGAAGGAAAAATCAGAGTATTTTCAAGACTTCGATTAGGTCATGCTTCGTTCTCTCACGAGTGGATTCTCAATTGCCGAAACACTGCACCCAATTGTAATGCTTGTAACAGACGTTTAATGATTTTCCACTAATACAATATAGCACTAGGCTTAAAGAACCCTTTCAAATGATACCACATATTAAATATATTGTTTCAAAAGAGAACTAACAATTTGAAAAAAAATTATTCAAAAATACTTTTTTTAAATTTAGTCCAGCTCACGAAGGGCCATCGCTAGATTTAAAATATTTTGGGAATCATCATAAAACAATGCAAGGTTACGCAGTAAAAAATAATTGATGTCATACTTTACAAGCGACATCTTAATCACATCCAAAAATGCGATTACATATTTTCCGCATTTATAAACCATATGTAATATTGAAAGAATGTGGTTTATTTTTGACATCCCAATATCCAATTTTTACTGCTTCTAAATATAAGATTAGATATAGATCAAAGTTGTCAAAAATGAACAACATCCCTCCAATGTAAAATTCACAGGTTTTCACCCGAATTTGAAGCACTTCGGGTTACTAGTTGTGATGAAAATACTACATATTTTATAACTCAATAATAAGATTTTTTGTCAATATTTGGCACTTTTTTTTTTTTTTTTTTTTTTTGCTCAATAAAAAGCTCAAAAAGCAAAGTTTTTAAGTTAAAAAAATTATTTTTTTACATAAGCCCGTTGCATCCCATCCCACTAAGTATTATTTATTTATGTATTTCAACTCAAACCTAAGAATAAATTCTATGTCTAAGAAATGTAGCATAGAGCACTATCATCTTTGGCCATCAGCTCGTAATTATAAAAGTGAGTTATACCTTTAGTTTGGTCTGTTTGATGAAATCGTATATTTTGTCTATGTTTTGAGTAGAATGTTCTCTGAGATATAGCAGGATTATTTCGAAAAATACTAGTTCTCTGACTGTTGAATAACTGACATTCATCAAGGACATGGCAAATCGTTAAACGTCTGTTACAAGCAGTACAATTTGGTGCAGCGTTTTGGTTATTGAGAATCCACTCGTGAGGGAACGAAGCATTACCTAATCGAAGTCTTGAAAATACTCAATTTCGTTGCCAGGAATTCCGATGTGGCTTTGGAGCCAATAAATCATTACCTTATTCTCGTTTCCTATTTTGTTGATTATGTTCCACCATTGTTAAATATGCTTAAATTAGCTTTCATCGCCGACAGGCTGTCAGTGAAAAAATGCTTTCATGTTTTCAGCTAAAACGAGACGAATAGCCTGGTATATGTCGCAAGCTTCCGCCGTAAAAACAGATAAGTAGCTTTGAAGACTTTATTTCATTTTATTTATTCTTTATTAAATCTTACTTAAATAGAAAATCTTAAGCTAAACTATGACTAACGTTGTGCCACTGCAGTTTCAATGCAAGATCTCGATTTGATTATCTGGCAAGATCCAGGGTTTCCTTTTTCCTAAGTCGCAGCAACTCTATGGCAAGGGGATTCGAGATCATTAGTTTCGACAGGTAGGTTAAACTGGAGAGTTTAATCTACCTGTTACCTCGGGGAACCTGTTATTGTCCTTAACAGTGCTGACTGCTTCCTTTGCAATTTTTCAACATTAGATGAGGATCCTGCCAGAGCAATTGAGCTGACTTTTATGCCAAAATCGATTGAATTTTTTATTTATATGCTGAAATAAACAATTGACATCACTAAACTTTCTTACAACATTCGAAAAACATATGTATAGAGCTTTTGCATTGAAAATACCAACAACATTGTTATGACTATTGTAGCAGCTGCTGACATACTACGCATACAACGCTACAACATCGATTGCGAATTGAGCAAATTTATTTAAACTGGTTTTGCAAGAATTAACGTCAAGAATGAGGCCGTAGGCAATTTTTGTTAAAACTAGTTTTTAGTTAAGTATGAGATGCACGAAGCTTTTATGTGATAAATAGTGAATAATGTTTACCCTAGGCAACAGAGTTTTTAAGTTAGCTTATTTACATTTTGTATATTCGTACCATCAGATTGTATCGAGTAGTTATTAGAATCACAGTTGTGCTTACGGCATATGTGAAATTTCTTTTTTTTTCTAAAAAGATTTTTGCCCCGGAATATTTGGTCCAGTTGTTTATTTCTTGGAGGAGGTCTGTTAAAATATCAGTTGTCTCACTATTGTTATTATTCTTACAGAAGATAATCTGCATAAAGAAAATTATCTAAAATACGGTGAACAGAAATAATTTTACTAATTTCGTTAAATGCAATCTGAAATAGGACTACCGAGGACGGCGATCCTTGTGGAATACCGTTACTTAGAGGAAATTATTTTCATAAAGTTCCATTAACTCTGAAAAAGGGTATTGATGATGTTGTAGTCCATATGCAGCAGTGTGTCGTCGCAACTAGGGATGCCAATCGGGACTGATGTTTAGAAATCCCGGGATTCGGGATATTTAAATAAATCCCGGAATCCCGATATCGCGATTCCGGTATTTTCGCCATCTTATGGACAGGTTGACTTCCAATATAGATTCTAATACAACCATTAGAATCCGATAATATCAGTGCCTATTTATTGCCCTTTTTATACCCTACACCACCTAAGTGGGG